TCTGTCTCTGTCTCTGCCTCTGCCTCTGCCTCTGCCTCTGCCTCTGTCTCTGTCTCTGCCTCTGTCTCTGTCTCTGTCTCTGTCTCTGCCTCTGTCTCTGTCTCTGTCTCTCTGCCTCTGCCTCTGTCTCTGTCTCTGCCTCTGTCTCTCTGCCTCTGCCTCTGTCTCTGTCTCTGTCTCTGCCTCTGCCTCTGTCTCTGTCTCTGTCTCTGTCTCTGCCTCTGTCTCTCTGCCTCTGTCTCTGCCTCTGTCTCTGTCTCTGCCTCTGCCTCTGTCTCTGTCTCTCTGCCTCTGTCTCTGTCTCTGCCACTGTCTCTGTCTCTGCCTCTGCCTCTGTCTCTCTGCCTCTGCCTCTGTCTCTGCCTCTGTCTCTGTCTCTGTCTCTGTCTCTGCCTCTGTCTCTGCCTCTGTCTCTGCCTCTGCCTCTGTCTCTGTCTCTGCCTCTGTCTCTGTCTCTGTCTCTGCTCTCTGCCTCTGCCTCTGCCTCTGTCTCTGTCTCTCTGCCTCTGCCTCTGTCTCTGTCTCTGCCTCTGTCTCTGTCTCTGCCTCTGTCTCTGTCTCTGCCTCTGCCTCTGTCTCTCTGCCTCTGCCTCTGTCTCTGTCTCTGCCTCTGCCTCTGTCTCTGTCTCTGCCTCTGTCTCTGTCTCTGTCTGTCTCTGTCTCTGTCTCTGTCTCTGCCTCTGTCTCTGCCTCTGCCTCTGTCTCTGTCTCTGTCTCTGTCTCTGCTGCTCTGCCTCTGCCTCTGTCTCTGCCTCTGCTCTGCTCTGCCTCTGCCTCTGCCTCTGTCCTCTGCCTCTGCCTCTGTCTCTGCTCTGTCTCTGCCTCTGCCTCTGTCTCTGTCTCTGCCTCTCTCTGCCTCTGCCTCTGCCTCTGCCTCTGCCTCTGCCTCTGCTCTCTTCTCTGCCTCTGTCTCTGCCTCTGCCTCTGCCTCTGCCTCTGCCTCTGCCTCTGTCTCTGCCTCTGCTCTGCCTCTGCCTCTGTCTCTGCCTCTGTCTCTGTCTCTGCCTCTGCCTCTGCCTCTGTCTCTGTCTCTGTCTCTGCCTCTGTCTCTGCCTCTGTCTCTGCCTCTGCCTCTGCCTCTGCCTCTGTCTCTGCCTCTGCCTCTGCCTCTGCTCTGCTCTGCCTCTGCTCTGCCTCTGCCTCTGCCTCTGCCTCTGCCTCTGCTCTGCTCTGCCTCTGCCTCTGCCTCTGCTCTCTCTGCCTCTGCCTCTGCTCTGCTCTGCCTCTGCCTCTGCCTCTGCCTCTGCCTCTGCCTGCCTGCCTCTGCCTCTGCCTCTGCCTCTGCCTCTGCCTCTGTCTCTGCCTCTGCTCTCTGCCTCTGCCTCTGCCTCTGCTCTGCCTCTGCCTCTGTCTCTCTGCCTCTGCCTCTCTCTCTGCCTCTGTCTCTGTCTCTGCCTCTGTCTCTGTCTCTGTCTCTGTCTCTGCCTCTGCCTCTGTCTCTGCCTCTGCCTCTGCCTCTGTCTCTGCCTCTGTCTCTGCCTCTGCCTCTGTCTCTGCCTCTGTCTCTGTCTCTGCCTCTGCCTCTGTCTCTGTCTCTGTCTCTGCCTCTGCTCTCTGCCTCTGCCTCTGTCTCTGCCTCTGCCTCTGTCTCTGCCTCTGTCTCTGCCTCTGCTCTGCTCTGCTCTCTGCTCTCTGCCTCTGCCTCTGCCTCTGCCTCTGTCTCTGCCTCTGTCTCTGCCTCTGCCTCTGTCTCTGCCTCTGCCTCTGTCTCTGCCTCTGCCTCTGCCTCTGTCTCTGCCTCTGCTGCTCTGTCTCTGCCTCTGTCTCTGCCTCTGCCTCTGCTCTCTCTGCCTCTGCCTCTGTCTCTCTGCCTCTGCCTCTGTCTCTCTGTCTCTGCCTCTGTCTCTGCCTCTGTCTCTGCTCTGCCTCTGCCTCTGCTCTGCCTCTGCTCTGCCTCTGCCTCTGCCTCTGTCTCTGCCTCTGCTCTGTCTCTGTGCTCTGTCTCTGCCTCTGCCTCTGCTCTGCTCTGCTCTGTCTCTGCCTCTGCCTCTGCCTCTGCCTCTGCCTCTGCCTCTGTCTCTGTCTCTGCCTCTGTCTCTGTCTCTGTCTCTGCTCTGTCTCTGCCTCTGCCTCTGCCTCTGCCTCTGCCTCTGTCTCTCTGCCTCTGCCTCTGTCTCTGCCTCTGTCTCTGTCTCTGCCTCTGCCTCTGCCTCTGTCTCTGCCTCTGTCTCTGCCTCTGTCTCTGCCTCTGTCTCTGCCTCTGTCTCTGTCTCTGCCTCTGTCTCTGCCTCTGTCTCTGCCTCTGCCTCTGCCTCTGTCTCTGTCTCTGTCTCTGTCTCTGCCTCTGCCTCTGCCTCTGTCTCTGCCTCTGCCTCTGCCTCTGCCTCTGCCTCTGCCTCTGTCTCTGTCTCTGCCTCTGCCTCTGCCTCTGTCTCTGCCTCTGTCTCTGCCTCTGTCTCTGTCTCTGTCTCTGCCTCTGCTGCCTCTGCCTCTGTCTCTGCCTCTGCCTCTGCCTCTGCCTCTGTCTCTGCCTCTGTCTCTGCCTCTGTCTCTGTCTCTGCCTCTGCCTCTGTCTCTGTCTCTGTCTCTGCCTCTGTCTCTGCCTCTGCCTCTGTCTCTGCCTCTGTCTCTGCCTCTGCCTCTGCCTCTGTCTCTGCCTCTGCTCTGCTCTGTCTCTGCCTCTGTCTCTGCCTCTGCCTCTGCTCTGCTCTGCCTCTGCCTCTGCCTCTGTCTCTGCCTCTGTCTCTGTCTCTGTCTCTGTCTCTGTCTCTGTCTCTGCTCTGCTCTGTCTCTGTCTCTGCCTCTGTCTCTGCCTCTGTCTCTGCCTCTGCCTCTGCCTCTGTCTCTGCCTCTGCCTCTGTCTCTGTCTCTGCCTCTGTCCTCTGCTCTGCCTCTGCCTCTGCCTCTGCCTCTGCTCTGCCTCTGCCTCTGTCTCTGCCTCTGCCTCTGTCTCTGTCTCTGCTCTGCCTCTGTCTCTGCCTCTGCCTCTGTCTCTGTCTCTGCCTCTGTCTCTGCTCTGCCTCTGCCTCTGCCTCTGCCTCTGCCTCTGCCTCTGCCTCTGCCTCTGTCTCTGTCTCTGCCTCTGTCTCTGCCTCTGCCTCTGCCTCTGTCTCTCTGCCTCTGTCTCTGCCTCTGCCTCTGCCTCTGTCTCTCTGCCTCTGTCTCTGCTCTGCCTCTGCCTCTGCCTCTGCCTCTGCCTCTGCCTCTGTCTCTGTCTCTGTCTCTGTCTCTGTCTCTGCCTCTGCCTCTGCCTCTGCCTCTGTCTCTGTCTCTGTCTCTGCCTCTGTCTCTGTCTCTGTCTCTGTCTCTGTCTCTGTCTCTGCTCTGCTCTCTGCCTCTGTCTCTGCCTCTGTCTCTGCCTCTGTCTCTGTCTCTGTCTCTGTCTCTGTCTCTGTCTCTGCCTCTGCCTCTGTCTCTGTCTCTGTCTCTGTCTCTGTCTCTGTCTCTGCTCTGCTCTGCCTCTGCCTCTGCCTCTGTCTCTGTCTCTGCTCTGTCTCTGTCTCTGTCTCTGTCTCTGCCTCTGTCTCTGTCTCTGCCTCTGCCTCTGTCTCTGTCTCTGTCTCTGTCTCTGTCTCTGCTCTCTCTGTCTCTGCTCTGTCTCTGTCTCTGTCTCTGTCTCTGTCTCTGTCTCTGTCTCTCTGTCTCTGTCTCTGTCTCTGTCTCTGTCTCTGCCTCTGCCTCTGCTCTGTCTCTGTCTCTGCTCTGCCTCTGCCTCTGTCTCTGTCTATGCCTCTGCCTCTGTCTCTGTCTCTGTCTCTGCCTCTGTCTCTGCCTCTGCCTCTGTCTCTGTCTCTGCCTCTGCTGTCTCTGAGTCTCTGCCTCTGCCTCTGTCTCTGTCTCTGTCTCTGCCTCTGCCTCTGTCTCTGCCTCTGCCTCTGTCTCTGTCTCTGTCTCTGCCTCTGCCTCTGTCTCTGTCTCTGTCTCTGCCTCTGCCTCTGTCTCTGTCTCTCTGCCTCTGTCTCTGTCTCTGAGCCTCTGTCTCTGCCTCTGTCTCTGTCTCTGTCTCTGTCTCTGCCTCTGTCTCTGTCTCTGTCTCTCTCTAGAGAGGGACCAGAGAGAGGGACCAGAGAGAGGGACCAGAGAGAGGGACCAGAGAGAGGGACCAGAGAGAGGGACCAGAGAGAGGGACCAGAGAGAGGGACCAGAGAGAGAGAGACTAGAGAGAGACCAGAGAGAGAGACCAGAGAGAGAGAGACCAGAGAGAGGGACCAGAGAGAGGGACCAGAGAGAGGGACCAGAGAGAGGGACCAGAGAGAGGGACCAGAGAGAGAGAGACTAGAGAGAGACCAGAGAGAGGGACCAGAGAGAGGGACCAGAGAGAGAACTGTTTTGTCGTATTTTGTGAAACAACACAACTCAATAAAATAAAATGCACACTCCCGTCTGTGTGTGTACGTGCACATAGGCCTCTCACACGTGCATGCGCGATGGCTGAAAAGCCTCTGTCACAGTTCCAAACATGACACATGCACTTCCTGCTGCGGCCAGAGTGTGGCGCTGTCCCCTCGCGGCGTGAGGAGGAAGTGCAGCCTGCGGCACAGAATTGAAAGTACGCCATAAATATGGCGCCAAAAGAGTTTTCAAGATGATGTCGCAGCTCCTCTCCAGGGCTAGGACCGAGCGGTACCTGAGCCGGACCTGAGCTGGACCTGAGCTGGACCTGAGCTGGACCTGAGCGGGACCTGAGCGGGACCTGAGCTGGACCTGAGCGGGACCTGAGCTGGACCTGAGCGGGACCTGAGCTGGACCTGAGCTGGACCTGAGCGGTACCTGAGCTGGACCTGAGCAGGACCTGAGCGGGACCTGAGCTGGACCTGAGCGGGACCTGAGCTGGACCTGAGCGGGACCTGAGCTGGACCTGAGCGGGACCTGAGCTGGACCTGAGCAGGACCTGAGCTGGACCGAGCCCACCTCCAGAGGGACCACGACCCGGACCTCAGCCTCCAGAGGGACTTGAGCCTGGACCGAACTCCCCTCCAGAGGGACTACGACCCGGACCTGAGCCTGGACCTCAACTTTCAGAGGGACCACGATCCGGACCCCAGCCTCCAGAGGAACCTGAGTCCGGACCTCAGCCTCCAGAGGGACCACGATCCGGACCCCAGCCTCTAGAGGAACCTGAGTCCGGACCTAAGCCTCCAGAGGAACCTGAGTCCGGACCTAAGCCTCCAGAGGAACCTGAGTCCGGACCTAAGCCTCCAGAGGAACCTGAGTCCGGACCTAAGCCCCCAGAGGAACCTGAGTCCGGACCTAAGCCTCCAGAGGAACCTGAGTCCGGACCTAAGCCTCCAGAGGAACCTGAGTCCGGACCTAAGCCTCCAGAGGAACCTGAGTCCGGACCTCAGCCTCCAGAAGGACCTGAGCCGCAGCGCAGGAGACTGTTTCCTGACTCATCGTTTGGATTTAAGCATCTGCTCCGTGCGCAGTTTGGAGCCGAGACGCACGGACCTGGGTTAGGATCTGATCCAGGGTCTGATCCAGGACCAGGACACGGAGCGTGGAGCAGGACCTGTCTGATCTTTTTCTAAATGCGACACACTTTTTCCGAGCGCGAGGACAGAGGTGAGCGCGCGTGAGCGTGCGTTAAAGTACGTGAGAGTGCGTGGTTCGGACTCGGCTCCAAACTGGTCCTGTTGGATCTGAAGTCTCTGAATGTTTTGGACCGAGCTCCTGTGACTGCTCCATCCCAGAAACTACATGTCCCTGACGGCGCCCACAGCTGACTGCGAACACGGTAACACACACACACACACACACACACACACACACACACACACACACACACACACATATACACACACACACACACACACACACACACACACACACACACACACACACACACACACACACACACACACACACACACACACACACACACACACACACACACACACACACACACACACACACACACACACACACACACACACACACACACACCCCCCCCCCCCCCCCCACCGGCCCACACGGTTCTGTTCACCCGGGCTCTGAGCTCCGAGGGCTAGGGGAGAGAAGCGGTGCTGAGGGGGTAGGAGGGTCGGCTTGACCATGGCACCGCTGTGTTTACTGTGGAGCACAGGGACTGGAACTCAGGGACTGGAGCACAGGGACTGGAACAAGGAAAGAGTGTTGAGCCAGGACCAGAGCCCGGTCTTGAGCTTGGACTAAACTACAGTTGGAGCATGGAACAAACAGTGGAAGCTTTTTATTTTTTGATTAAACCAATTTGAGAATCAGTGCAGAAGTGACTTCAACAGAACGTCTGACTCAGGCTGTGTGATGTCACTGCTGTGTGATGTCACTGCTGTGTGATGTCACCGCTGTGTGATGTCACCGCTGTGTGATGTCACTGCTGTGTGATGTCACTGCTGTGTGATGTCACCGCTGTGTGATGTCACCGCTGTGTGTGATGTCACTGCTGTGTGATGTCACCGCTGTGTGATGTCACCGCTGTGTGATGTCACCGCTGTGTGATGTCACTGCTGTGTGATGTCACCGCTGTGTGATGTCACTGCTGTGTGATGTCACGCTGTGTGATGTCACTGCTGTGTGATGTCACCGCTGTGTGATGTCACCGCTGTGTGATGTCACCGCTGTGTGATGTCACCGCTGTGTGATGTCACCGCTGTGTGATGTCACCGCTGTGTGATGTCACCGCTGTGTGATATCACCGCTGTGTGTGATGTCACCGCTGTGTGATGTCACTGCTGTGTGATGTCACCGCTGTGTGATGTCACCGCTGTGTGATGTCACCGCTGTGTGATGTCACCGCTGTGTGATGTCACCGCTGTGTGATATCACCGCTGTGTGTGATGTCACTGCTGTGTGATGTCACCGCTGTGTGATGTCACCGCTGTGTGTGATGTCACTGCTGTGTGATGTCACCGCTGTGTGATGTCACCGCTGTGTGATGTCACGCTGTGTGATGTCACCGCTGTGTGATGTCACCGCTGTGTGATGTCACTGCTGTGTGATGTCACTGCTGTGTGATGTCACTGCTGTGTGTGATGTCACCGCTGTGTGATGTCACTGCTGTGTGATGTCACTGCTGTGTGATGTCACCGCTGTGTGATGTCACCGCTGTGTGATGTCACCGCTGTGTGATGTCACCGCTGTGTGATGTCACTTCTGTGTGATGTCACCGCTGTGTGATGTCACCGCTGTGTGATGTCACCGCTGTGTGATGTCACCGCTGTGTGATGTCACTGCTGTGTGATGTCACCGCTGTGTGATGTCACCGCTGTGTGTGATGTCACCGCTGTGTGATGTCACCGCTGTGTGATGTCACCGCTGTGTGATGTCACCGCTGTGTGATGTCACCGCTGTGTGATGTCACCGCTGTGTGATGTCACCGCTGTGTGATGTCACTGCTGTGTGATCTCACGCTGTGTGATGTCACGCTGTGTGATGTCACCGCTGTGTGATGTCACTGCTGTGTGATGTCACCGCTGTGTGATGTCACCGCTGTGTGATGTCACCGCTGTGTGGGATGTCACCGCTGTGTGTGATGTCACCGCTGTGTGTGATGTCACCGCTGTGTGATGTCACGCTGTGTGATGTCACCGCTGTGTGATGTCACCGCTGTGTGATGTCACTGCTGTGTGATGTCACCGCTGTGTGATATCACCGCTGTGTGTGATGTCACTGCTGTGTGATGTCACCGCTGTGTGATGTCACCGCTGTGTGTGATGTCACTGCTGTGTGATGTCACCGCTGTGTGTGATGTCACCGCTGTGTGATGTCACCGCTGTGTGATGTCACCGCTGTGTGATGTCACCGCTGTGTGATGTCACGCTGTGTGATGTCACCGCTGTGTGATGTCACCGCTGTGTGATGTCACCGCTGTGTGATGTCACCGCTGTGTGATGTCACTGCTGTGTGATGTCACTGCTGTGTGATGTCACTGCTGTGTGTGATGTCACCGCTGTGTGATGTCACTGCTGTGTGATGTCACTGCTGTGTGATGTCACTGCTGTGTGATGTCACTGCTGTGTGTGATGTCACTGCTGTGTGTGATGTCACTGCTGTGTGTGATGTCACTGCTGTGTGATGTCACTGCTGTGTGATGTCACTGCTGTGTGTGATGTCACCGCTGTGTGATGTCACCGCTGTGTGATGTCACTGCTGTGTGTGATGTCACCGCTGTGTGTGATGTCACCGCTGTGTGTGATGTCACTGCTGTGTGATGTCACTGCTGTGTGTGATGTCACTCCTGTGTGATGTCACTGCTGTGTGATGTCACCGCTGTGTGTGATGTCACATGTCGCTTCATAAATAACGTACTCTGTACGTACAGGGAGGTCAAAGGTCTCAGAGAACCTCTCTCTCAGCCAATCAGCTCTCTGAGGACCTCCCTCTCTCAGCCAATCAGCTCTGAGGACCTCCCTCTCTCAGCCAATCAGCTCTCAGAGGACCTCCCTCTCTCAGGCCAATCAGCTCTCATACATTTTACTGTAACTAGATTCTTTCTGTGAGATCATTTACAGACACAGCCGAAGACGATGATGTCATGACTGTTAAAGACGAGGTCATCAGACTCAGCAGTGACTATGATGTCATCACCCACCTGGCCGAAACATGTTTTGGCTTTGACCTCCCTCTCAGCCAATCAGCTCTCAGAGACCTCCCTGATTGGCTGAGAGAGAGGTCCTCTGAGAGCTGATTAACTGAGAGGGAGGTCTTCTGAGAGCTGATTGGCTGAGAGAGAGAGGTCCTCTGAGAGCTGATTGGCTGAGAGAGGGAGGTCCTCTGAGAGCTGATTGGCTGAGAGGGGGGTCTTCTGAGAGCTGTCCTGGTCCTTCCTGGTCCTGATCCTTCCTGGTCTGTCCTGGTCCTTCCTGGTCCTGGTCCTTCCTGGTCCTGATACTTCCTGGTCCTGATACTTCCTGGTCCTGATCCTTCCTGGTCCTGGTCCTTCCTGATCCGTCCTGGTCCTTCCTGGTCCTTCCTGGTCCTTCCTGGTCCTGGTCTTTCCTGGTCCTGATCCTTCCTGGTCTTTCCTGGTCCTTCCTGGTCCTTCCTGGTCTTTCCTGGTCCTTCCTGGTCTTTCCTGGTCCTGATCCTTCCTGGTCCTTCCTGGTTTTTCCTGGTCCTTCCTGATCCGTCCTGGTCCTTCCTGGTCCTTCCTGGTCTTTCCTGGTCCTGATCCTTCCTGGTCCTGGTCTTTCCTGGTCCTGGTCCTTCCTGGTCCTGGTCCTTCCTGGTCCTGGTCTTTCCTGGTCCTTCCTGGTCCTGATCCTTCCTGGTCCTTCCTGGTCTTTCCTGATCCTTCCTGGTCCTTCCTGGTCCTGGTCTTTCCTGGTCCTGATCCTTCCTGATCCTTCCTGGTCCTTCCTGGTCCTGGTCTTTCCTGATCCTTCCTGGTCCTTCCTGGTCCTGGTCTTTCCTGGTCTTTCCTGGTCCTGGTCCCTCCTGGTCCTTTCTGGTCCTGGTCTTTCCTGGTCCTTCCTGGTCCTGATCCTTCCTGGTCCTTCCTGGTCTTTCCTGGTCCTTCCTGGTCTCTCCTGGTCCTTCCTGGTCCTGGTCCTTCCTGATCCGTCCTGGTCCCTCCTGGTCCTTCCTGGTCCTGGTCTTTCCTGGTCCTGGTACTTCCTGGTCCTGATCCTTCCTGGTCCTTCCTGGTCTTTCCTGGTCCTTCCTGGTCTTTCCTGGTCCTGATCCTTCCTGGTCCTTCCTGGTCTTTCCTGGTCCTGATCCTTCCTGATCCTTCCTGGTCCTTCCTGGTCCTGGTCTTTCCTGGTGCTTCCTGGTCCTGATCCTTCCTGATCCTTCCTGGTCCTTCCTGGTCCTTCCTGGTCTTTCTTGATCCTTCCTGGTCCTGATCCTTCCTGGTCTTTCCTGATCATTCCTGGTCCTGGTCTTTCCTGGTCCTGATCCTTCCTGGTCCTGGTCTTTCCTGATCCTTCCTGGTCCTGATCCTTCCTGGTCCTGATCCTTCCTGGTCCTGATCCTTCCTGGTCCTGGTCTTTCCTGGTCCTGGACTTTCCTGGTCCTTCCTGGTCTTGGTCTTTCCTGGTCCTTCCTGGTCCTTCCTGGTCCTGGTCTTTCCTGGTCCTTCCTGGTCCTGGTCTTTCCTGGTCCTGGTCCTTCCTGGTTCTTGTACTGCAGGCTCCTGGTTTACTGTGTCTGCTGTATCTGTGATGTTAGCACTTGTGTCACAGTAAGAAGGTCCTGTGTTCAATTCTCCAGACAACGCCCTCTGTGTGGGTCAGAGGGGGAGGGGAAGGTCAGAGGGGGAGGGGAAGGTCAGAGGGGGAGGGGAAGGTCAGAGGGGGAGGGGAAGGTCAGAGGGGGAGGTGTCAGAGGGAGGGGCAGGTCAGAGAGGGAGGGGCAGGACAGAGGGGGAGGGGAAGGACAGAGGGGGAGGGGAAGGTCAGAGGGGGAGGTGTCAGAGGGAGGGGCAGGTCAGAGAGGGAGGGGCAGGTCAGAGAGGGAGGGGAAGGTCAGAGGGGGAGGGGCAGGTCAGAGGGGGAGGGGAAGGTCAGAGGGGGAGGTGTCAGAGGGAGGGGCAGGTCAGAGAGGGAGGGGCAGGTCAGAGAGGGAGGGGAAGGTCAGAGGGGGAGGGGCAGGTCAGAGAGGGAGGGGAAGGTCTGAGAGGGAGGTGTCAGAGGGAGGGGAAGGTCAGAGGGGGAGGGGCAGGTCAGAGAGGGAGGGGAAGGTCAGAGAGGGAGGGGCAGGACAGAGAGGGGAGAACTTTAAAACTCCACACAGAAAGCAAAACACAGACAAGTGACTGAAGAATGCTCTTTAATGAGAAATGGTCAAAACAAATTAATGGGTAAATCCTTTGTTGTTATAGTGTGATGTCATAGTGATGTCATGGTGATGTCATGGTGATGTCATGGTGATGTCATGGTGATGTCATAGTGGTCTTTGTTGAGGTTGGGGGAGGGCACTGAGTAGGGGTGCAACGGTTTGAAAAAATCACGGTTCAGTTCGTACCTGGGTTCAGAGGCCACGGTTCGCTTCATTTTCCAGTCCCTGTGCTCCTCAGAGTCCCAGCAGGAGGCCAGCCCTGTGCTCCCTCAGAGTCCCACAGGAGTGCCAGTCCCTGTGCTCCACCAGAGTCCCAGCAGGAGGCCAGTCCCTGTGCTCCTCAGAGTCCCAGCAGGAGCCAGTCCCTGTGCTCCTCAGAGTCCCCAGCAGGAGCCAGTTCCCTGTGACCTCAGAGTCCCAGCAGGAGGCCAGTCCCTGTGCTCCTCAGAGTCCCAGCAGGAGGCCAGTCCCTGTGCTCCTCAGAGTCCCAGCAGGAGGTCCAGGTCCCTGTGCTCCTCAGAGTCCCAGCAGGAGGCCAGTTCCCTGTGCTCCTCAGAGTCCCAGCAAGGAGTCCCCTGTGCTCCTCAGAGTCCCAGCAGAGGCCAAGTCCCTGTGCACCTCAGAGTCCCAGCAGGAGTCCAGTCCCTGTGCTCCTCAGAGTCCCAGCAGGAGTCCAGTCCCTGTCTCCTCAGAGTCCCAGCAGGAGTCCAGTCCCTGTGCATCCTCAGAAGACCCAATCAGGAGGCCAGTCCCTGTGCTCCTCAGAGTCCCAGCAGGAGTCCAGTCCCTGTGCTCCTCAGAGTCCCAGCAGGAGGCCAGTCCCTGTGCTCCCTCAGAGATGTAATAAGACATAACATAGTGAACTGTTTTTGCCCAGTGCTGTGTGTTGCCATGGTGACAGCAGCTCTCTCTCTCTCTCCTCTCTCCTCTCTCTCTCTCGACTCCCTCTCATCCTCTCTCTCTCCTCTATCCTCTCTCTCCTCTCTCTCCGCTCTTTCTCTCCTCTCACATCCTCTCTCCTCCTCTCTCTCCTCTCTCACCCTCTACTCCTCTCTCCTCTCTCTCCTCTCTCGCCCTCTCTCTCCTCTCTCTCCTCTCTCCTCCCTCTTTCCTCTACTCCTCTCTCCTCTCACTCTCCTCTCTCATCTCCTCTCACCTCTCTCCTCTCTCCTACTCTCGCTCGTCCTCTCTCACCTCTACTCCTCTCTCCTCTCTCCTCTCTCTCCTCTCTCCTCTCTCCTCTTCCACTCCTCTCTCTCCTCATCTCCTCTCTCTCCTCTCTTCCACTCTCTCCTCTCTCATCCTTCTCTCCCTCTCCTCCTTTCTCCTCTCTCTCTCCTCTCTTCACTCTCCTCTCATCACCTCTCTCATCCTCTCTCCTCTCACCTCTCCCTCTCACTCTCTCTCTCTCTCCCTCTCTCCTCTCCTCGTCCCTCGCTCATCCTCTTCTCCTCTCTCCTCTCCTCTCTCCTCCTCTCTCCTCTCTCTACCTCTCTCCTTACTCGCTCTCTCCTCCTCCTCTCATCTCCTCTCTCCTCTCTCTCCCTCTCTCTCCATCCTCTCTCCTCTCTCCTCCCTCTCTCCTCTCTCTCCTCTCTCTCCTCTCTCTCCCTCCTCATCCTCTCTCTCCTATCTCTCCTCTCTCCCTCCTTCTCTCTCTCTCCTCTCTCCTCTCTCCTCTGTATTAATTTTGTATTTTTTGTTTTGCTTTGTTTCTATGGTAACTATTAATTTTTTTTTAATACCACTATGTTCTTTCTGCCTCGCTCTCTCCTCTCTTCTCTCACTCCTCTCTCTCCGCTCGCTCCTCTCTCCTCTCTGACCTCTCCGCTCTCCTCTCTCTCTCCTCTCTCTCCTCCTCCTCTCTCTCTCTCTCTCTCATCATCCTCTTCGTCCAGTCTCTCCGCTCTCTCATCTTTCCTCTCTCCTCTCTCTCTCCTCTCTCCCTCTCTCTCTCATCGCTCGTCCTCTCCTCTCTCTCCTCTCTCTCCTCTCTCTCATCTCTCTCCCCTCTCTCCTCCTCTCTCTCCTCGTCTCCCTCTCAACCCTCTTCTCCTTCTCTCTCACCTCTCTCCCTCCTCTCTCTCCTCTCTCGTCCTCTCTCTCCTCTCTTATCTCTCTCCTTCCTCTCTCCTCTCCTCGTCTCGTCCTCTCATCCTCTCATCCTCTCTCCTCATCCTCTCTCACCCTCTCTCCTTCTCTCCTCTCTCTCTCTCCTCTCTCCACCTCTCTCTCCTCTCTCTCCTCTCTCTCCTCTCATCTCCTCTCTCATCCTCTCTCTCCTCACCTCCTGATTTCCTTGTTATTTACTTTCCTCCTCTCTCTCTCCTCTCTGCTCTCCTCTCTCTCCTCATCTCTCCTCTCCCTCCCTCTCATCATCTCTCCTCTCTGCTCTCCCGCTCACCTCTCTCCTCTCTCATCCTCCTCTCTCTCACTCTCTCCTCTCTCTCTCTCTCTCTCTCTCCTCTTCCTCTCTCTCAGTCTCCTCTCTCTCTTTCCTCTCTCCTCTCTCACATCCTCTCTCCTCTCTCTCTCCTCTCGCACTCCTTCTCCTCTCTCTCCTCTCTATCCTCTCTCTCCTCTCTCTCCTCCTCTCCTCCTCTCTCCTCCTACTCTCTCCTCTCTCTCCTCTCTCCCTCTCCTCTCTCCTCCTCTCTCGCCTCTCCTCTCTCCATCCTCTCTTCATCCTCTCTCTCCTTCTCTCTCCTCTATCCTCTCCTCCTCTCACCTCTCTCTCCTCTCTCTCTCTCTCCTCTCTCTCGTTCCTCCTCTCTCCTCTCTCTCTCTCTCCTCCTTCCCTCTCTCTCCTCTCTCATCTCAGTCTTCGTCTCCTCTCCTCTGTCTCTCTCCATCTCTCTTCTCTCCTCTCCTCCTCTCTCGCTCATCTCCTCTCTCCTCTCCTCTCTCTCCTCTCTCTCTCTCTCTCTCCTCTCGCTCTCTCCTCTCTTCCTCTCTCCTTCTCTCCTCTCTCGCTGCTCTCTCTCCTCTCTCTCCTCTCTCTCCTCTCTCTCTCTCTCCTCTCTCTCTCTCTCTCCTCCTCTCCTCTCTCTCTCTCTCCTCTCTCTCCTCTCTCCTCTCTCTCTCTCCTCTCTCTCCTCTCTCTCCTCTCTCTCCTCTCTCTCTCCTCTCTCTCCTCTCTCCTCTCTCTCCTCTCCTCTCTCTCTCCCTCTCTCCTCTCCTCTCTCCTCTCTCTCTCTCCTCTCTCTCTCTCTCCTCCTCTTCTCCTCTCTCTCTCTCTCTCTTCCTCTCTCCTCTCTCTCTCTCTCTCTCTCTCCTCTCTCTCTCCTCCTCTCTCCTCTCTCTCTCTCTCTCCTCTTTCTCCTCCTCTCTCCTCTCTCTCCTCTCTCTCTCCTCTCTCTCTCCTCTCTCTCTCCTCTCTCTCTCCTCCTCCTCTCCTCCTCTCTCTCCTCCTCTCTCCTCCTCTCTCTCCTCTCTCCTCCTCTCCTCCTCCTCTCTCCTCCTCTCTCCTCCTCTCTCCTCTCTCTCCTCTCCTCTCCTCTCTCTCCTCTCTCTCCTCTCTCTCTCTCCTCTCTGCAAAGCCCACGCTTGCATTTATTTTGACAGAGCAGTCCCACATCAGTCTCTCTGTGTGTGTGTATGTGTGTGTGTGTGTGTCTCTGTGTGTGTCTCTGTGTGTGTGTGTGTGTGTGTGTGTGTGTCTCTCTGTGTGTGTGTGTGTGTGTGTGTGTCTCTGTGTATGTCTCTCTGTGTGTGTGTATGTGTGTGTGTCTCTGTGTGTGTGTGTGTGTATGTGTGTGTGTCTCTGTGTGTGCGATCCGTGGCTGGTTATTGGTGGGAAAGAGGGGTAAGGACCTGGTCATGTGACTATGGTGATTAGCATTAGCGATGTAGCGCTGGTGGAGGAGGTGTCTGGGGAGGGGCTGACGTCACTGCATGTGTGTCCCAGAAAAGCACAGAAGAACATTGTGTTTTTACTGGTAAAGACAGAATGACGGGGAAGCATGGCAGGAATGTTTCTGTTGGCTCCGGTCCAACGGAGGGGGGGGGTCTATGGACCACAGAGGGGAGGGGGGGGTCTGTGGACCACAGAGGGAGGGGGGGGTGGTCGTGGACCACAGAGGGAGGGGGGGGTCTGTGGACCACAGAGGGAGGGGGGGTCTGTGGACCACAGAGGGAGGGGGGGGTCGTGGACCACAGAGGGAGGGGGGGGTCTGTGGACCACAGAGGGAGGGGGGGTCTGTGGACCACAGAGGGAGGGGGGGTTGTGGACCACAGAGGGATGGGGGGGTCGGGTCTATGGACCACAGAGGGAGGGGGGAGGGGGGCTGTGGACCACAGAGGGAGGGGGGGTCTGTGGACTAAGGGGGGGGGGGGGGGGGGGGTCTGTGGACCACCGAGGGAGGGGGGGGGGGTCGGGTCTATGGACCCAGAGGGAGGGAGGGGGGTCTGTGGACCACAGAGGGAGGGGGGGGTCTATGGACCACAGAGGGGGGGGGATCTGTGGACCACAGAGGGAGGGGGGGGTCTATGGACCACAGAGGGAGGGGGGGTCTGTGGACCACAGAGGGAGGGGGGGGTCTATGGAACCCCCCAGAGGGAGGGGGGGGTACTGTGGACACAGGAGGGAGGGGGGGTCTATGGACCACAGAGGGTGGAGGGGGCTGTGGACCACAGAGGGTGGGGGGGAGGGTGGGGGGGGGGGGGTCTGTGGACTACAGGGGTGGGGGGGTCTGTGGACCACGAGGGAGGGGGGGGGTCTATGGACCACAGAGGGAGGGGGGGTGGGTCTGTGGACCACAGAGGGAGGGGGGGTCTATGGACCACAGAGGGAGGGGGGGGTCTGTGGACCACAGAGGGAGGGGGGGGGATCTATGGACCACAGAGGGAGGGGGGGGTCGGTGGACCACAGAGGGAGGGGGGGTCGGTGGACCACAGAGGGAGGGGGGGTCGGTGGACCACAGAGGGAGGGGGGGGTCGTGGACCACAGAGGGAGGGGGGGTCTGTGGACCACAGGAGGGAGGGGGGGGGTCGTGGACCACAGAGGGAGGGGGGGTCTGTGGACCACAGAGGGAGGGGGGGGGTCGGTGGACCCACAAGAGGAGGGGGGGGGTCTGTGGACCACAGAGGGAGGGGGGGGGTCTGTGGACCTACAGAGGGAGGGGGGGTCCTATGGACCACAGAGGGAGGGGGGATCTATGGACCACAGAGGGAGGGGGGGGTCTATGGACCACAGAGGGAGGGGGGTCTGTGGACCACAGAGGGAGGGGGGATCTATGGACCACAGAGGGAGGGGGGGTCTGTGGACCACAGAGGGAGGGAGGATCTATCGACCACAGAGGGAGGGGGGGTCTGTGGACCCCAGAGGGAGGGGGGGGTCTGATGGACCTCAGAGGGAGGGGGGGGGGCTTGTGGACAACAGAGGGGAGGGGGGCGTCTTGGGGACAACAGGGGGGTAGGTGGGGGGGGGGTCTGTGGACCACAGAGGGAGGGGGGGGGGTCTATGGACCACAGAGGGAGGGGGGGTCTGTGGACCACAAGTGGCGTGGGGGGGTGTCTTATGGACCACAGAGGGAGGGGGTGGGTCTGTGGACCACAGAGGGAGAGGGGGGGTCTATGGCACCACAGATGGAGGAGGGGGCTGTGGACCACAGAGGGAGGGAGGGAGGGGGGGGGGGGGGTCTGTGGACCACAGTGGGAGGGGGGGGGATCTAGGGGACACAGAGGGAGGGGGGATCTATGGACCACAGAGGGAGGGGGGGGTCTATGGACCACAGAGGGGAAGGGGGGGGGTCTATGGACCACAGAGGGAGGGGGGGGTCTGTGGACCACAGAGGGAGGGGGGATCTATGGACCACAGAGGGAGGGGGGGTCTGTGGACCACAGAGGGAGGGGGGGGTCTGTGGACCACAGAGGGAGGGGGGGGGTCTGTGGACCACAGAGGGAGGGGGGGGTCTGTGGACCACAGAGGGAGGGGGGGTCTGTGGACCACAGAGGGAGGGGGGGGGTCTGTGGACCACAGAGGGAGGGGGGGGGGGGGTCGTGGACCACAGAGGGAGGGGGGGGGGTGGACCACGGGGGAGGGATGGGGGGGGGGTCTGTGGACCACAGAGGGAGGGGGGGGGGTCGTGGACCACAGAGGGAGGGGGGGGTGCGTGGACCACAGGGGAGGGAGAGGGAGGGGGGGGGATCTATGGACCACAGAGGGAGGGGGGGGTCGGTGGACCACAGAGGGAGGGGGGGGGGGGGTCGTGGACCACAGAGGGAGGGGGGATCTATGGACCACAGAGGGAGGGGGGGTCTGTGGACCACAGAAGGGAGGGGGGATCTATGGACCACAGAGGGAGGGGGGGTCTGTGGACCACAGAGGGAGGGGGGGGTCGTGGACCACAGAGGGAGGGAGGGGGGGGGATCTATGGACCACAGAGGGAGGGAGGGGTCTGTGGACTACAGGGGGGGGGGGCTGTGGACCAGCTGCATTGCCGAGACAGTGGTCTATACATCCTCCTCATTCACTGTATATATTAACAGACGTAGTCAGGTCTATCTCCGCCGTTCTAACAATGGGCCAAAAATTGTGCTCTACTGGAGCTATTCAAAATGGCCGCGGGGGCTGGAAATTGTGAAAAAACACATCTGTGCATGAGTCAGCTGCACGAGCTCCATTCATTTAAACGAGAGACTTCTAAAGTCCACAGCGACTGAACTAGACTGGTCCAGAACACTCAGCATTGACACACATGTGGAACGGAGCTTTGGACCAAGAGACAACTTTTGGTCCATCCTGTAAAGACGTTTTCCAGAGGTAAGAAGATGCTATATGTTAGCATTGGCTAACTCTTAT